CTGATATGAATAGAGTTCATTTTCCCTCCTTAGGAAACCTTACTCACTCCAAATAGTGCTTGAAAAAGTAAAATAAAAACAAAAGATTGGTACCAGTCATTTTTCTATTTGATAAGATGGGTTGATTTAACTAGCTATTTTCTGAATTGACCTGAGCTGATACATGCTGATTAGAAAAATCTTTGGTCTCCATCAGGATACAAATGAGATTACTATGTTTTTCATTGGAAATTTTGGAAAATTTCCTGAAGTCCCTTGATGCTTCATAATAAAACAGCATGTATTCCCAGAATGTGTGAACTATACATGGAAAGGTGAGGGTAGGGAGAGAAGTAAAAAAATCTGAGACCCAGGGATGTGTGTGTGGGATGAGCTGGGTGGGGAAAGTAGTGTATGTAAGTAATTAGGAGAAGAACGGTCATTTTCTGATTGTTCTCCTATTCACAATAATTGAGAGTGATTTTCTTTGCTAGACAGAACTGCTTTTCTTTAGCAGTGTGGTAGGGAAGGTTATCTGTCAACGTGGCTGGGCCTGGTTTTGAGTGGCTGAGCAGGTGGATGTCGTTCTTCCCCATGGTGAGATTGGTAATCATCTCCATGGTGGAATCTACTGGAGCAGCTGAGTAGCTGCCTTAGGGATGTGATAAGCTTCCAGTATATAAGGAGAAGTTTGGAGAAAGGTCACAGCTTTTTGGCATGCTTGGACCCTATCAAGAACATAGCCAAGTCTTCATTCAGCAGCCTGCCATTCCCTGCCAATTTTGGGATTTTTTCTGGACTTAAACTAATGGACTGCTGTGTTGTTTGATAATCTTGGAACTGTGCCTTTTTACTCATCGACATTGGGTTTGCCAGCCTCAGCAGTCAACAGCTGCCTGAGTTAAGAAAAGCCTCCAGCTTCAGTGGGCTGGCAGCAAGAGGCAGAGCCCAAGCCCAAGGTCAAAGAGCTTTAACACAGCCCCTACGGCTTGGTATTTTGAACTTGGACTTCCAGCCTCCTAAAATGTAAGAGAATAAATCCCTGTTTGTTAAAGCCACCCATTTGTGGTATTTTCCATTAGAGCAACACTGTTGTTGTTATGTGCCATCAAGTCAGATCTGACTCATAGTGACCCCTCCTTGGGTTTCCGAGGTGGTATCGCTACAGAAGTAGATTGTCCAGCCTTCCTTCTGAGGAGCGGCTGGGGGGTTTAGAGAATAAAAACAAGCAGCTTTACCAAGGTGACATTTATTTTCTTTTTTTTGGAACTTTATATTATGATTGGGGTGAACATTTACAGAACAAATTAGTTTCCTAATCAGCAATTTATACACATTTTGTTTCATGACATTAGTTGCAATACCCCCGATGTAGCAGCACTCTTTCCACTTCCTCCCTGGGTTGCCCATTTCATTTATCCTTCTTTCCTTCCCTTCCTGTCTTCTGAACTTTGTTTTTCGGCAAACATCGCCCTTTTGCTCTTATATGGTCGACTGTTCTAAAGAGTGCATACCTCCCTGGTGTTATCGTTCACTTTATAGGCCTGTCTAATGCTTGACTGAAAGTTGAGCCAAATGAAAATTGAGGATGAGTTCCAGGCTTGCAGGTTGTCCAAAGGTCATAGTTTCAAGGGTTCCACAGGTCTCTAACATTCTAGTAAGTCTAGTCTTTTTTATTATTTTGAGTTTTGTTCCACATTTTTCTCCCACTCTATCCAGGATCTTCTACTGTGATCTTTTAAGAACCCCAGTCATGACTCACCAAAGTAGGATGCAGAACATTGTCTTTGTGGACTATGTTATGCCAATTGACCTAGATAGATGTCCCCCACCAAGATGATTGTTTTTAAAACAAATCTTGAGTGTCACTAGTTACAGGTGCCCTTGGTATCAATCTTATTTTTTTGTTGTTGTTTGGAAAAAGAATATGTTGGTGCATTTTCATATGTTACCACTCATGGTGACCCCATGTATGTAGAGGAGAAATGTGCAACATAGGGTTTTCAAGGTTATCACCTTTCAAAAGCAGACCACCAGGCCTAGTCTTCTCAGTTTCCTCTGGGCAGACTCAAACTACCAAGCTTACAGCTAATAGCTGAGCACTTAACCATTTGTGCCATTGTGACACTTAAGGTTGCATGACAACTTGGCTGGGCCATGATTCTCCTTGGGTTAGTGGTTATAATGTAACTGCCTCCATGATGAAATCTGCTATGAACAGCCAATCAGTTGAAAGGATGTTCCTCAGAGGTGTGGCTGCTTCCAACATATATGCATGTCCTGGCAAAGCTCTCAGGCTTTTTGCTTGATCTGGATCCTGCATATGGCTCATCATTATCTGACCTCTGGTTCTTGGCCTGAATCAGTGGCCTGCTGTATTGCCTCCTTATCTTAGAACTGTTGCATTCTCAACCTGTGAGCCATCAGCCTGCCATCTTACCCACTGATCTTGGATTCACTGGCCTCCAAAATCAGCAGTCTGTTGTACTGCCTGCTGATCTTAAGTTCATCAGCCCCTATAGCTATATGAGTCAGGAGAAGCCTTCAGGTTGACATCTGACCCATGCACTTGGGACTTGCCAGCCTCTATAACTGCGTGAGCCATTTCTTTAAGATAAGATTTCTCTCTCTCTCTCTCTCTCTCTCTCAGCTTCAGTGGTTTTGCTTCTCTGGGGAACCCAACCTAAGACAGCCACCTAGAAATTCCTTGAGGGATTATGAAATAAGACAAGAAAGCCTTCCTAGTATGTGGCCTTGTTGCTGTTGTTGTTAAGTGCTGTCGAGTCGTCTCCGACTCACAGCAACCCTAAGCACAGCAAAACGAAACACTGCCTGGTCCCACACTAGCTCCACAATCCTTGCTATATTTGAGACCATGATCACAGCCACTGTTTCAATCCATCTTGTTGAGGGCCTTCCCCTCTTTTGTTGACCTCCCACTTTACCAAGCATGACATCCTTCTCCAGGGAATGGTCCCTTCTGACAACATGACCAAAGTAGGTAAGATGAAGTCTGACCATTCTTGCTTCCAAGGAGCTTTCTGGCTGTACTTCCTCCAGGACAGATTTGTTAGATCTTTCAGCAATCCGTGGTACTAGTATGTGGCCTTAGGATCTGGAATTTCAAGTTTTCTAGGCTGCTCATTCCCTGATGCTGGTCAGAACTCAACCACATATAGTTGCCATTGCTCTGATGCATTTATGCTTTTTTAACAATATCTTTCAACATATTAAGTGTTAAATAACAGGTTTTTGGACAATTTAATGTATTTCTTCTGATGAAAATTTAATAATTGAAATCATTTTTAAACATGAAGAACTCTGGAAAAGTTTTAAAGAAGAAATTTTCCACTGCCTGAAGCACATTGAGTTAGGAATTGGTTACAGACCTGTGAGTTTTCAAAGGTATCTAGGGATAATCTTATTCATAAGGAGCAATACCTGCTAGAGATCAGGTACATGGAGGAATAACAATCTTTAGTGAGCCAGTCAGAAGCTCTGGTGGCACAGTTGTTAAAGTTGTCCACCAAAAAGCTGCTAGCCAAATGTCGGCGATTCAAACCTACCAGCTGCTCCTCAGAATAAAGATTTGTCAGTATGATTCTAGAAAGATTACATCCTTGGAAACTCTATGGGGCAGTTCTACTTTGTCCAATATGGTCTCTGTAAGCTGGAATCAACTCAATGACAGTGGGTTTTGGGTGCCTTCAAATATTGAGCATTTCCAATGTTGGCCACTAGAGGGAGTAGAAGCAAAGAAATCTTCTCACCAACCTGATACTGTGTGAGAAGTTAGCATATTTGTTATCTTATTTGCAGTGCTAGCAGAGCTCACAAATCAAATGCTGTCTGCGTACAGACTATTCAGGAAGTCAGAATCTTGTATAGGGATTTTAAACTCCCACCCAGTACATCAATTTCTGTTTAATTTCCCAGATCATGATGTATCACAGTATTCCCATGTTAATATTTAAGCTATTTACAAAAAAGTGTGGTGGCGTAGTGCCTAAAGCATTTGACTGCTAACCAGAAGCTGGCAGTTCAAACCCACCAGCCACTCCTCGGAAGGAAGGCTGGGAAATCTACTTTTGTAGTGATACTGCCTCGGAAACCTGAGGAAGGGTTGCTATGAGTCAGATCCAACTCGATGGCAGTGAGTTTATATTTATAAAAAAGTGTGCCTTCTTAGTATTTTACTCATTAAGCTGTATGAATTAATTTTTTTCAATTATCACAATGTTTCTGAAAAAAGTTTAGTGAGAATGCTCATAGGATTCACCTTGAAACCCAGAAACAGTTTTTATGTCATCTTCTGAGATCCTGGTGGTATGTCAGGGATGATATGTGCTGCTTCACTACTGAGAAAAGAGTGCAACATATGTGTGGAAAGTCCTAAAACTCAGAACAAGTTATGAAAATGGCTTTTAAGATTTATCACGTATCAACTCATTGCCATTGAGTCAATTCTGACTCACAGCGACCCCCTTTGGGTTTCTGAGGCAGTAAATCTTTACAGAAGTAGATTGTCCAGTCTTCCTTCCGCGGAGTGGCTGGTGGCTTTGAACCACCAATCCAAACCCACCTTCATTCATATGACTCTATATGAGTCAGTCCATTCTGACTCATAGAAACTCCCATAGGGCTTCCAAGGCTGTAAATCTTTATAAAAGTAGATTGCCTTATCTTCCTTCTGTGGAGCAGCTGGTGGGTTTGAAGTGCCAGCCTTCTGGTTAACAGCCAAAGGCCTCACCCACTGAGCCACCAGTGTTCCTTTTTATCACATATGAACTGAGCTCACTGTCATCAAGTCATTTCTGACTCATAGCAAACCCTGCTGGGTTTCCAAGGCTATTTAATTCTTTACGGAAGCAGATTGTCCTGTCTTCCTTCTGCAGAGCAGCTGGTGGGTTTGAACCACTGACCGTCCAGTTCAAAAGTATTTGCAGTCTGTGAATTCTTGGGACATGATAAAACTGAAATGAAAATATGACAAGTAGATTGAAACAAACAGGTGTACTTACAGTCACAGTCTTAGCATCCATCTCAGTGAATATGAATTCTCCTCCTTCAAAGTCGTCATTCATATACAAGAGAGCACTAGGAAGAGAGATTGGAAATTTCTAGTGTGGTCACATTCTGGAGGCAATTTCCATTACAGTTTTTCCAACTAGCCACTCACTGGTCAGAACCGAGGACTCTGTTGGGTCTGAGCGTGAAAAGTGAAACTGGACCGATTATATGGAAGACTAATTGATGAAAGAGTAGAAGGCAGAAATATCTTAGCCATGTCTCTGTCTCTTTACATCAGCAAGCCATTCATAAGCACTTACTGTATGCCAGACACTGTGATAATGACTGGGAGAGGTGTAGTGGAGTAAAGGCAAATACAGAGGTAATTAATGCCATACTGATTATCTGGAGGTGGTATAAAGTAGTAACAACTACTACTAATAATAGTAACAACAACAACTAACATATATTGAGCACTTCCCAGGGGGCAGGCACTTTGTACAATAAAGGACATAGATGTTTAGTAACTTGCCTAGAGTTTTAAGCTAGATTTAAGCCTAGACAGTCTCCAAATCTCGTGCACCCCTCCAAATAAAGACCTGCTGCCATCAAGTTGATTACATCTCATAACAACTCTATAGGATAGAGTATAAATGCCTCATTGCGTTTCTAAGGCTGTAATTTTTATGGAAGCAGACTGCCAAATCTTTTGCCTATGGAATGGCTGGTGGGTTAGAACCATCAAATTTTAGTTGGTAGCTGAGCACTTAACCACTGCATCACCAGAGTTCCTTCTCCAAAGCCCAAACCAAAATTTACTGCCATTGAGTCAATTCCGACTCATAGCAACTCTATAGTACAGAACAGAAACGCCCCATAGGCTTTCCAACGCTGCAAGTCTTTACAAAAGCAGACAGCCTCTACTTTCTCCTGCACAGACTGGCTGTTGGGTTCAAACGGCTGACCTTTTAGTTAGCAGCCTAACACTTTAACCAGTGTGTCACCAAGGCTCCAAAACCCACTAGGGTTCAAATCCTAGTTTATTACTTACTAGTTATGTAGACTCGGCTAATTTATTTAATCTCTCTAAGCCTCATTTTCTTCCTCTGCAAGATGAGGACAAAAACCTTTCTTTATAAGAGTGTTTGAGGATTAAATGATACATGGCCCATAAAATGCATAGTTCTGTGAGCAACTGAATAACTGATAGCCATTCTTATTATTCTATGCTTACAACAACAGCAGCAGCCTAAAATACTGAAGGCGGGTGATAAGCTGGCCAGGCCAAACAACACATTTCTTTAGAACTACATTGAACCAATTGACCCTCATAACCCTTCATGTAATAACAGATACACTTTGGATGATTCTCCTGGAGAATGCATTTATTCTACCTTTGTAAAAAATTTAACTGTATTTCAATGCATCCCACATTTCTGCTCCTCCAAGGAAAACGTAATCAAATTTAACCTAGCTCTTTGAACTTGCCCATACTACTTACACCTCACTTTTTTCCCTTTTCTACTAGTAACTCTAAATAATATTTTTTCCCCTATTTGGAGAGCTCCTTTTGAGCTAGCCTACCCTGGCAGATAAGAGGCATTCAGTAAATGACATTATAGACAGAACAGTGTAATAATAATTAATAAATTATTATGTGATTTGTATACATACTGACTCTTTTCTTTATAGACTAAACTATCTGTTTGAATGAAAGAAAAATATTTTTCCTTCTGATTTTCCAGTTCTTTATTTATAAAATTCAGACATATGTGTTCACACATGTGGATGAGGGATGAATGAGGTAAGAAAGTCCCTCTGAGGGTCGAGACATAACACTCTTGTGCTCTCCGACTGAGATATGCACACACAAGAGATAGATTTCAATGAAAGGAAAGAGGTGTTAAAGGGAAAAAGAACAACACATAAACTTTACTTTTCGTATTAAAACAAAAATGTACACTGTGCAATAGGATGCAAAATGTGCATGGATTTTTAAGATAAAAATATGAGATGATAATATTTTCAGTGGGGCTAGCCGCTTCCAAAGGTGATCTGAGAATCTCAGATTCACAGAGATGAGTATGATGGGAAGCCACTCAGCAGCTTTTTGGAGTCTATCGTTTTTTGATGACCTTGAGACAAAAGCTCGGTTTCAAAGCAGGTGCTGGCAGTACCTATAATCCCGGAATGTGTAAGCTGGAGGCTCCTTCCAGCATTCGTTGGCCTCTGGGTCTAGCAGGCAGTTGTCAGCATGAATGGGGTGACTGAGGTCATTTCTTCTCTCTTGCTGACCTGCCAGAAAATGGAACAGGGAAAGATGAGTGACAGAGTATAGTAACCTCCAACAGCAAAGCTGACAATCTGTCTGTCTTCTTCCATCCCTGGTGTTGCCGGAAAATTTGGGAAGACAGAAGGCAGGGCAGAATCGATGAAAGGACACTGTCTAGGCAGTCCAAGACTCTGGACTTGATGTGAAACTTTCAGCAGGTCATGCTTGTCTCTCTGAATCTACAAGTGCTCTGATATAAATATGCATATATAAATTCTATGTATTTCATGGGCTTTATTTCATGTGTTATGTTGTCATTGTTGTTGCTTCATTCTGCTGTGCATGGGGTCGCTATGAGTAGAAGACAACTCGATGGCACCTAACAAGCAAGAATAACATTTCAAGTATAGCAGCAAAAAGATGGTGAGTTCTGGTGGTGTACAGCAAAAAGATGAGAATACAATGAAAATGTTAAAGAAAAATTATATTGGTTTAACTGAAACTTCTCAAGTGTAAAAGACATTACTCTCCCCTCCTGCTCAGCAGGAACTAAAAGAGAGCATGTGTAGAAGAAACATGACAAGTAGGGAGTGAGGACGAGGTCTTTGTCTTTTTAAGAACATTTCTCTCAACATTACTTTCATTCCTATGGTTCCTCATTCAATGCTTGTAGACATTATGGTGACTGGTTTCCAGGTTTCTGGTTCTCCAAAAAGAGAAGCCTAGTGAAGGAAAGGTTTTCCTTATGACAGGCCAGTAGAAGTGATGTTAAAAAACCAAATAGGCTAAGTGAGGGTCTTCTGGAATGTCAAGTGACCAAAAAGGAGAAAATGAAGGAAGGGAAGAGTAAGGGTTAGCAAGCTTCAATTGTTTCAGAACATTAAAACCAAACCAAACTCACTGCCATTGAGTCGTTTCCGACTCACAGCAACCCCCATTGGGTTTCCAAGGCTGTAAATCTCTGTGGAAGTAGATCGCCCAGTCTTCCTTCCACAGAGCAGCTGGCGGGTTTGAACCACTGACATTCCAGTTAGCCGTCAAGTCCCTTATCCACTACACCACCAGAGCTCCTTTTAGAACATTAGCACTCTTCTAAATTCTTAGTCTAAAATGCAATGGACCTTTGCTTTGCATTGCTTCTTTCCAATTGCACTGTGGGGAGAAGGGAACAAGGTTGGACACAGGAATCTCACCAGACAGGGCTGTTCGGCAAACCATGTGTGTATAGGAGAAATACAGGGTTGAGTTCAGCATGAAATAGGATTCTACAATCTTTCGAGCCTTCTCGCTGATGTCATAAAACAGACGGGCACTCTTCAAAGGGACTCGGCCTTCATAACCAAACTGAAGACAAAGAACAGTATTAGAAACCACGAGGTTGATTGGAGGGCTTGAGAATACAGACAGTAAACCAACCAAACCCCCACCCTCAAGCTGATTCCTACTCAGAGTGACCCTTTAGGACAGAGTAGAACAGTCCGATAGGGTTTCCAAGGCAGTAAACCTTATGGAAGCAGACTGCTTCATCTTTCTCCCACTGAGCAGCTGGTGGGTTCAAACTGCTGACCGTTTGGTTAGCAGCCCAATGCTTTAAGCACAGTGCCACCAGAGCTCCTAAACAGACCCTAGGTTTCATTAAGCCAATATATTTTGGCCACGTGTGCACTGACTAGTAGAAATACCACTACACACGTGTGGATTTTGGTGAGGACAGTAAGTCATTAGAATAAGTTCTCGCCCAACCACACAAAGAAAGAAAAACACTCTCACTTTCTTCTTTCATAGACATTCTTCATTCCCCTCCACCAACAAATCTTGCAGCAAAGGATAATTACTTGTTTGGGTATGTTTTTACTATTCACTATTCACTATTCACATCAGCTCTTTGAGGACAGTGGTTACATCTTATTTATCAGGAGCAAAGTTAGGAAATGTAACATTTGGTAAATGGATGAATTCATGAGGAATGGATAAATGATTAAGAACAATGAAGGTGCTATTTTATACTTGCACCCTTTAATTGTTCTTGTTGGTGTATACTCTAAACTCTCTTCTTCCCTGCATCTGTCATTCACAGAAGGTTCACACTTAGAAGCCCAAACCTGAAAGAACTTAAGACTTTACCTTGAGTGCTTTCAGGACAGTTGCACCTTCAAATTTTTCATTGGGAGTATGGGGTGAAGTTTTTCCTCTGTATCCATCTCCAACAAGCATGATTCCCTGGGGGGAAAAAAATGCAAGAAGATGTGTTACCAATTATAACTACGGATTCCTCAGGTCTCCCTTTGTGCCTCTGCTGCCAGAAGGCTGAGAACCAAAGTCAATACTCAGAACCTTGCCCAGAGGATTACAGGTTCCTGGTACAATTAATTTTCCCAATGAAAAGAGATATCTTTATTTAAACTTCACTATGCATTTTCTGTATAACATACAGCCACTTTTTTTGTTGAAATACACAGCAAGAAAATGACTAATATATTGGTTAATTATTGATTGAAAATACTGTTATGTATGTTTTTGTGGCTTTTTCTGTTTCTCAGGGCATTTATAATTTAACTGGATTTTCCCAGTGCCATTATGGAATAGACAGGTCACATGTCATCTGGCTATTGTTTCAGGAATTAAACTACTGGCTACTCCAGATCTCACCTGGACAGAAAAACAAAACACAAACAAACAAACCTACAGTCAACCTCCCAACCAAACGGCTATGGATATGCCTCCATAATCAATGCCCCTGTCCTAAAGATAGTGAAATTTTGGGTCTTATTCCCTAGCTCCCAATGAGAACAGGACCAAAGTACAGTGCCAAAGCACTGCCAGACTCAGGCCATGCCAGCAGAGTTGGACACCCTTCCCTCTCCCAATCCTCACGCTGGCCACACTGTGGAGCTCCCGGCACTGTTCTTCTGACAGGACGTTATCCAAGAGAACCCGCTGAGTCCCATTCAGCTGCTCTGAGTTATAGACGAATGTGATGTTCTCATATAGCAGAGGGCCACCTGAAAGGGCAGAGCACATTCACTTCCTTATTACCTGGTCTCCAAGGGGGAAGCACAGAACACCCATCAGTTTTCAATGTGCAGTTCTGAGAGGGTCACGTTCCTCAATATTTAAGAACACAAATACATTATAAATTTCTACCAGGTTTCCTCATATATCCTAATTGTTGTTGTTATAATAATATATTATATTTTTGAATAGGATTTTGGGATGAATAAAGTATTTTTTCACTAGAATCCAATGACGATCCTGCAAAGTAGATGGCATCTCAAAGCATCCTCCTCTGAGAAGACATCCCAGAATTCCCTGAGCACCTGGACTCATTCTCCATTGTTCTTGGTCCAAACCTTTGTTATTATATGTAGTTACTGAATGTTTATGTCTGGCTGGCATGATATATATATCTGTTTTACTGGTACCTGGAGCAATGCCTTTACCAGGAAACTAAGGTATTAAAAGCACCTTCAGGCCAGTCACACTCAAGTTGTCCAACTCCTTTCCCAGTCTTCTTCCACCCTCAATTAACTTTTATATGTTCTTGCTTTTGGAATTTTTATTTTTCTCTGCTCTCCAGGCAAATTCTTTACATTGCTATTTTACACAGGAGGGTTTTCTTATAGGCACCTTCTCTCTCCCCAGATAGCACCCACAACTTTATAAAATCAGACCCATGGAGGCTTTTAGGAAGTTGGTGTTATTGAGCATGTTTTAGGTGGTGAGGTTACAAAATTGACATAATAAGATATTTTGCTCATAAAAAAGTCATCAAACAAGAAAAGGACTACAAAGAATGTGCGCTCAAAAGAACCGGGGCCAGAGGCGTTAATAAAAAATTCATGTTGAAAGTTCCTTTTTAGTTTAGCTGAATAAGATCAATCATTTCATTCATATTGTTAGTTTTAATTTAGGTGGTTTTGTTGTGTGATGGTCTCCTTTTCAGAGAGCAGAACTTAAAGACAAAGCCTGTGGTCTTATGGTGAGGGAAACTGAGAACAATTGTCTTGAAACATACAAATGGAACAGAATGGAAAACTGTTTCTCAACTCTTTGTAATATTCCCAAGGGATCTGGGGGGCAGCAGTAGTGGTTCAGTGGTAGAGTTCTCACCATCTGTGAGGGAGATTATGGTTTGGTTCTAGCCATTACTCTTCAAGCCTCAACTGTCACGCTTTCTGTCAGTGGAGGCTTGTGTGTTACTATGATGCTGAGCAGGTTTCAGTGGCACTTCCAGACTAAGATGGCCTAGGAAAAAAGGACTGGTGATCTACTTCTGAAAATCAGCCAATGAAAGCCCTATGGATCACAATGGTCTGATACCATTGTTCTCGGGGTAGCCATGAGTCAGGGGCTGACTTCACAGTAACTAACAACAAGAACAAGGGACCTGACACATGCTTGTCAGTAACAGTGGTTCACCACGAAGGGAGGAGGGACAGCACAACTTCTTCCTTCTTCTCCCCAGTCTAGCAATGATCATCAACACTTTGGTCTAAACCACCTCAGTTAGAGGAGAAGTTGATGTCTACTTTATCTGTATAAATGGACTGGTCAAAATAGGGAACAGCACAACTGTTTATTAGTACAATTGGGATAAAAGAATCACAACAGACCATGATTAATAGAACATTAAAAGAATATCTAGGCCAGTGTTTCTCAATCTTAAAGTGATATATGGTTGGCTGTTAAAGCAAAGTGTTCCCCAAGGAGCTCCAGGGCTGACAAATTACTTTCACTGTAACATTACTTCATTATATGCAATCACAAAACTATGTCTATATTTTTTATTTTTATAGTTTTATACAACAATAATACCAAAACCAATTTACAAGATTAAATTAAAGCAAAGCCATAAAACCAACTAAATTAAAATTAACAATATGAATGAAATGATTGATCTTATTTGGCTGAAACTAAAAAGCAACTTTCAACATGAATCTTTTATTAACTCCTCTGGCCCCAGTTCTTTTGAGCTCATGTTCTTTGTAGTCTTTTCTTTGTGTGATGACTCTATTCTACCACAACTTTTTTCTGTTTAAACTAATACAACATCTCTGTTCTTCAGTGTGTACTGTGATACTATTTGGCCTTCATCTACTGCTAGCATGCTATTTGTGTCATAAGTTTATTCCACTGTATTTCTTGCTAGTCTGCCACCACTGAACCACTGAATCATTTGAACCAGCTGGTTCCAGTGTGACCCTAGATACATGCGCACCCACTGAGGTATGAAAACTCATGGTAGTACTTGGCTGTAAGGTGGTCATTCAATCAACCCACTGGCCCTGCATAATTTAAAAAAAAAAAATTCACCAAAATTTACAAATAGAGAACTACTGGATTCCAAGAATAAACCCATAAGCCTCCAATTTCAGGGCCACATTTCCTACTTTTGAATGAAAAAAGAAAGTTACTCTACTGCAATGTTTATTAAACTTTGTTCTAAAGAAAAGATTTTGATAAAAAAAAAAGTTCTTTGATCATATGTGTTTGGAAAGTACTTAGTTACATAAAATTTAAGAAGACTTCTTGGAGCTTTTAAAGTGTGAAATGGAATTATGAATTTCCTAAAAAGTGATGTAACATACAGCAGTTCTCATACTTCAATTGCACATAATACCCTTCTTTCCTCCCTCCTTCCATCCTTTCCTCCTCCCTTCCTTTCTTCTTCCTTCCTGCGGCAGAAATACTCCAAGATGGGCCCTAACAATTCTTGACTCTGATAAGCTGTGTAATCTGATGTTGGTGGGGCCTGAGACTTGGTTCTGATCAATAGACTATGTGATGGGTTTTAATTTCCATGACTATATTACATAAGATTACATTGTCGGGCTTGCTAACAGACCCTCCTGTTGCCTCCTCAGCTTGAATGCTTTAATAAAGCAATTGTCATATAAGAGAGGCCCACTTAACAAGGAACTGAGAGCAGCTCACAGCCAACAGGCAATTTAGAAATAAGGCCCACATCCCAATAATCTTTCAGAAAGTAGATTTTACCATGTGATTTTAGAAGCAAATTCTTTCCCAGTTAAGCCTCAGATGATAGCTCTACTCTGGCTGGTACCTGGGTTGCAGCCTGTGAGAGTCTTTGAAGCAGTGGATCCAGGTAAACTGTGTATGGATTCTTGACAGAAATAGTTACATAATTAAAGTATGTTGTTGTGAAGTGCTAAATTTGTGGTAATTTGTTTTACAGCAATAAAGAACCAACACACACACACACACACACACACACACACACACACAGGATCCTCACAGGATCTCTTAACACAGAACATATTTTGGGAACCAAACTAAAATCAAACTCACTGCCACTGAGTCGATTCTGATTCATAGTGACTGTATAGGACAGCGTAGAATTGCCCCATAGGGTTTCCAAGGCTATAAATCTTTACAGAAGCAGACTGCCTCATCTTTCTCCCACTGAGTACCTGGTGGGTTTTAATAACCATCTTTTTGGTTAGCATTCAAATGCTTTCACCATTGCACCACCAGAGCTCCTTAATCTTTTTAAAATTTGTAATAAATATGAAACATAATCATTACACCTTTTGGTTAGCAGCTAAATGCCTTAATCACTACACCAACAGAGCTCCTATTTTGGGGATAGTGTTTCTGAATCGAAATAATTGACTGAGTAGTACAAAATTGAAAATATGGTCTTATGTTCTTCTTCCATTTAGAAATACAAAAAGAGATAGCCCTTGATAAAGAAAGCAATGATACTTTTGTGTTCACTGGAAAAGCATATCCTAATATAAAGTCAAATAGATATGGAAGATACTTGAGGGCTTCATTCAAGGAAATGGGTTGGTAAATACTTTGCCATGTTTTCCATATTGAGGATCTATTGTTTTAAATATAATTAGTTTATTTTCAATATATAATGTTAAAGTTACTAAAACTAAAGCATTTTGAATGGTGCCTACCAGTCTTAAGCTTTGTGTATTTACTCTTATAATTCTTTTTTTTTTTTTT